ATATCTTCATCTGAGAAGTGATATTCATCTCAGATGCTGAGTTCTGGCTTGGGTTTTTTTTAATTTGGGGGGTCTGAGATTTTTTATTTCTTTATGTGTGCTAAGTCCTTTGTCTGAAGGACAATTGGCTAAAATTTTTTCCCACAATTTTTAGTAAAATTTCAATTCAGGAATTGTGATGCCTCCTGCCTTGCCTTTGTTGCCCAGCATTGCCTTTGATATTCTAGGTTTCTTCTGCTTCTAGGTGAACTTTTAAGGATGTTTTTTCTAGTTCTGTGAGGTATTTTAACAATATTTTGATCAGGATTGCATTAAATCTGCATAGCAATTTTGGAAATGTAGACATTTTCACTATGTTGTTATTTCCTACCCATGAACAAGAGATATATTTCCATTTTCCCTTTTATTTATCCACTTATTGCTTGATGAGCATTTGGGTTATTACCATTTTTGGCTATGATGAATTATGCTACTATGAACATTTGGATTCAAACCTTTCTGTGAACTTATTTTTTTTGTCTTAAGTAGATGCCTGGATGTGAAATTACAGGGTCATATGTCAACTTTTGTGTAGTTTTGTAAGAAACTGTCAGACTTTCCCACAGTAGTGAATCATATTACATTCTCACTAACAGTGTCTGCCAACACTTACGATTTTCTCCTTTTTTTTACTGCAACCATTACAGAAGTGGAAAATGGCATCTTTCACTGTTCTCTACTTGTGTAATTTAGGTATCAGGATAATATTAGCCTCTTAGAATAGGTTGGGAAATATTTCTTTCTCTATTTTCTGGAGAAATGTGTGAAGTATTGTTATTAATTCTTTCTCAAATGCTTGTTGGAATTCACCAGTGATGACATCTGGGCTTTGACTGTTCTTTGTGTAAAAATTTTAGTCACTATATCATTTTCTTTACTTTCTGTTAACTGAATTGGCTTTTCTACTTTTTCTCAAGACACCAGGTTAAGTCAGCTGTCACTGTGACAAGGTACCAAAGATAAGCAATGAGAAGAGAGCAAAGGTTCGTCTTGGCTCATGGTTTTGGAGGCTCCATCCCTGGTTGGTTGGCCTGTTAGTTTGGGGCCTGGTGTGAGGCAGAGCATCATGGTGAGAACGTGTGATAAAGGAAGTTGCTTACTTCATGGCTACTGGGAGGCAAAAGAGAAAGACAGTAAGGTGGCAGGAAACTACCCTCCCTGTCAAGGCCACCTTCCTAAAATCAAATACCTTCCCACTACGTCCCAAGTCCCAAAAGTTCTACCCCCTCTCCGGGGTATCACCAGCTGGTGCACAGGCTCTCACTATATGGGCCTTTGGGGAACAGCTATTCAGTGACAGCAAGGAATTTTAGCAAGTTTATCCTTTCAGGAATTTCTCTACCTAAATTGTCTAGCATACAGTCATGGAGTATTGTAATTCTTTTAAAGTTACTAGTGATGATCCCTTTTCTTCACTGATTTTTTTTTCAATTTGTGTTCTAGTTTTTCTTTCATTGTAGCTAAGGTCTTACCACTTTTGTTGACATTTTAACAAAATGTGTATTACAGGCCACCAAGAATACATAAAAGCTTATCAAGGCTTGCTTTGGTTCTCCTCTCTCCAGAATCTCTCTGTTAATTTCTGATCTGTCTCCTTGTCTGCTTTTTACCCCAGCCAGTATTGTGAGTGAACTCAGGTCAGCTGCCTGTGGGGACCTTCCCTGGATGCTTGCCTCATCAATAACTGTAGTCATCAACGTCCTGGGCATAGAGGGAGGAGAATAGAGGAGCTTCAGGTTCTAACCTTGGTTCAGTAATTTTTCTTGTGTAAACTCTTCTTAATTTGTTGTATGCCCTTGGACAGTTTCCAAAGTCTTACAGAGATCTTTTGTTTTTTAAGTTTGCCCAGCATTTTCATTGCTTTCTGGGGAGAATGTTTGCCAAACTCTTCACTTAGCCTTTCTAAAAGTCAAGATATAACCTTTCTGGACTTTATGATCTAGCATGAAAGATGTACACTGAATTTGTACTCCATTTGTTCTCGTGCCTTCTTCAGAAATGGCAATCAGATATAGTTTGGAGCTCAATTTACTGCTTTACATTATTTTATGTCATGTAATTTTCTTCTGTTTGCCATTTGCTTTTGGTTCTGAGAGAATTCCTAAAAGATCACATTATAGATTTGATTTCTAGTTTTTAGTTTCTCCAAGGATGACTTTGATTCTGTTGGTTCTTTTGTAAAAAGTATACCTTGATTTTATTCTCTTTCCTCTTTATTTTACTTTCTTCTCATGTTGTTGCCCATTCAACCTTTTCTATTCAACTCTCCCCTCCCACGTCTTCCTTACCATGGTTTATGGAGATGACATTTTATTTTCTATTAAGGATAACAAATAAGTTTAAAGTTATTTTTGTTATATTGCACGTAATTTTCAAATAAGCCCTTATCCTTACATCTTGATGGTGCTACTTTCGTGCCAATTGGTTTAGCTGCTGATTCGGCCCTTACTCACAGGTGATTATTAAAGCTCTTCATTTCTGAGGAATAAAATACATGGATTTTCCTATCTTCAACTACCGCGCATCATGTTCATGCTGCTTTCCTGAATCACAGTGGACAGCCCAGCTTTTAAGAGTCTGACCAGATTTCCAGTCTCAAGCAAGCATTTTGTGACAATTTTCCTTTATTTAGGTGACATCTTTTCCTAGTCCATTTTCCTGCTTTTCCTGTTCTTTAGTTGTTCCTTGATGCTCAGAACTGACAAAGTATATGAAAACTCATAGTCTTCACAGTAAAAAGCTACAGAAGTCTTCCTACTTTTGTCCTTGGTTGGAAACATAGAAGTATTAACATTAATTTTTCATCTACTTATTGTGCACTTATTTTCCTGGCAGTTGTGTTGTTTGAATGAATTAGAAAGATGAGAAGCCTAAAGAGATGCAGAGTGTTTGTTTCTCTGGCTGCCTCAGGAATCTGGATCCATGTAGTAAAAAAATGATTATAGAATTTTTAAGTTCATTCTGAATGAAGGCCCTGAATCATTGAACAGGGAAGGAACACCTATGGTGGGCATTATTTCTTTTTGAGTCATTCTTTTTTTTTCATGACCTGTCTGTTTATGTTTTTGATAAGTGATGGGGGTGTGAGATTGTGCCCTGGTTCCCAAGTTGATGTTTACTTTTTCCTGTATGCTTTCATGATTAAGGCACCCGCCCTGTTTATCACCAGGAACTTATATGTTTCCTTTTTTGATGCCATGTTGTGAAATACTTTGTCTCTTACCCGACTACAGTTTTAAGGAGTAGCTTCTATTAATTAACTCATCAAAATCATGCATGGTGTCAGTTAGAGCTTCAGATATACATGAAACAACCAGAGTTATTCAAAGAGATGATCAAATTCAAAACCAAAGACAGTATACTGTTAGCTCATCACAGCTTTGATAGCAAACATGAAATGCCTTTAAGCTGTTGAAACATTGATACTTTATCCAAACACCCCACTTTTGTCCTGTAAAGGTCTAAGTCTCCAGACCTCATGGTTAGGTACTGCTGCCTCCTCAAGGTTCTTAAGTGGCAGGAATTGGGCAGAGCTCTGTTGCTCAGCATGGAGAGATACCAGGTTCCCTAGCTTTCAACCAGATCAGTACATTCAGGGCATTGCAGTTGGGCAGAAAATTGCAGATTGTTAGCTATCAATGGAAAATAACATCATGACTTCACTTTTAGTTCACCACTTACGTGTGTGTATACATATTTATATGTGTATGTACATGTTTCTGTGGATGTTCTCTAATATATACGTATATGTGTGTATACACATATGGGCATGCAAATCCATACATGGATGCACAGGAGCTCTAAATTATTTTCAGTAAAACCTGTACCAACGCAGAGGTACTCATGAGTGCCTTTAATAAAAAAGTCACTATGTGTTATGCGATAACATTGAACAGACTCCAGACAGCCTCTTATCTTAGATATACAGTAACGTAGCATAACTCAAGCCTAGAGGAGAAGTTAAAGCATTAGGTAACGGTAGCAACAGTAGCATGTTAGTGGGGTAATAACTCTCCTGGAGGATAACCCAGGATGGATTTTATTGAATTCAGTTTACTTAGCTAGAATAAACCCAGATAGGCATCACATTTACAAGAAGGTGCTAGCAAGAGGGCACGTTATTACAAGCACATTTAGAAGATAAGCAATAGAAAATTGAATAAAATCAGAGCTCAGGAAGGGAGCATAAGTGGTTCCTGCTTGTGCTTCTCGCCATGGATAGGTCTATACCTAATCTGACTGAGAAGAAAAACAGTTGCTTTCTCAGACATCAGCAGGGAGAAAGGGCATAGATGCTCTCTTAGGAATTGGCTGTGTAACCCTCCTGACAAGCTTGCTATATGTCTTAAAGTTCCTCTTTTTGAAATTTGTGAATTTTCTTAATTCACTAAGATCCTTGAAGATTTAGAATAAGTATTTAATGTTCCTTAATAGTAATTTATTTTAAAATGTTACCCTTGTGGCTGGATGTGGTGGCACATGCCTATAATCCCAGCACTCAGGAGGCTGAGGCAGGAGGATCATGATGAGTGTGAGACCAGCCTCAGCTACAAAGTGAACTCCAGGCCAGCCTGAACTGCATAGCGTGACCCTGTCTCAAAAAGACCAAAAAAAAAAAATGTTTTTTAAATGTTCCGAATGTGGCCATCTTTTAGTTTCTTTAGCTTTTCAAACCAATTAATGGTGTTTGATTTGTGATTTTCCTCCCAGATTTAAGTCTGGCAGATGTTTGTTCATGTGGTTATTCTGTACATGAAGCATTTTCCTCAGCTCTAGTGAGTGGGGAGATGGACAGACTCTCCCCTCTGCCCCAAGTAATTCTAGAACCTTGTAGTCTTCCCCAACCTTTATCCAAGAGACAAAGCTTTGCCCACCAACTATCTAGCTAGTGAAAATTTGGCTTCTATTCAGTAGGTTCTGAGACCAACACTACAAGACCATCCCCATGAGACCATCACTACCTGCACTCTGAAGCTCCTTCCTTACCAGAACCACGGACTCAAAGTGCTTCTCAGTGTTGACCCACTGCTTTCAACTTGCAGACCTGGTTTCTGATGCAACCTAGAGAGAGAGAGAGAGAGACAGAGTGTCTGTGTGTGTGTGTCTGTGTGTGTGCGCACACATGCACAGAGGGATAGTGATAGAAATAATGATTTGCAAAAATGGGGGGATTTATGATCTATCAACAAAAAAAAATTTTTTTTTTTGTTTCTGACAAAATTTCACTTTCAAATTTCTTCTCTTTCTTCTCTCAGGTGACCTGCTTCTCTTTTCTAAACATGCTCTCTCTCATTCATAGAACTTACTTGGAAGTTCATTTGTAGAAAAAGCAAGTCTATCTGAATAGTCTCTGACTCTTTGGGGTAATTCATCTTTTATTTTGTTCCTTTAAACTTTTCCTGTCCTAAAGATCATGCCTTTACATTGGAAAGTATTCCGTGAAAGTCTTCTCTGTGAAGGGTACTGCGTGTGGTGGTGTGGGAAGGTAGACAATAAATGTTCAAGGTACGTTGCCTCCAAAGGCCTTAAAAGAAAGAGAAAGACACCACATAAATAACTCCAACACAAGGCAGACCCAGTGAACCACTTACCTTGAGAGAAAAAGTTGCCTTAAGAATAGATCTATCCAGGGGAATTTAAGGGAGCAGGTCATTTATTTTACTTTTTCAAAATCTTTTCTCTTTCCTTTACATTTGACAAAATCAAACTGGTGGCTTCTACTAGATTGTCCATTCAGTTTTTTATAGATTTATGCATATAAAATGAACAGAACAGTATTATGAACTCCTGTTAGATCTTGTGTGATTCTCTCTCTCTCTCCCTCTGCCAGAATGGGGGTGAGTGAGAAGAAATCTGAGGGAACTCTCCAATGAGTTGTCCATTCACTCGTATTTTCAATTAATTTATTTTCACTCTCATGGAAGAGGCCACTACAGAAAAATATACACCTCAAACGTATTCCAAAATCCCACCTGAGTCCCTGGCCAACTATTAATTTTTAAGGAGCAGCTGATTAATAGCTGTCGACACTCTCAGCATGTGGAATTGGATGCATGTTGTCTGGTGTTGGGGGGCAGGCTGGGGGCTAGGTAGAAAATTCTCATTCATCTCTTATATTTGTTCTGAAGATTAAAATGCATATCTGTGTGGCATTTACTTCTTAATAGAGAAATTAAGAGTGACTCATGGTTTAAAAAAAAATAAATAAACTAACCTCTGGAAGCCTCCAGAACATAATTACCACATAAACGCCTCTGCCAAATCAGTTACCTCTCAGTGACCGCAGAGTCCCCCGTGGCCATTCTCCAGGCGGTGGTATGCGGTATGCACTCAAGATGTTAAGGTGTTAGAGACATTTCCTCCTTTCAGCGTGAGCCAGGGTGGACCCAGCGTCTCTGAAAGGTAAATACAAAGCCCTCTCTCCTACGCAAGAGAGTTCTTCACTGTTTGCAGTGCGTCGCCTTTGTCTGCACCGCACATACTTCACATTTTCTCAAAGGTAATGGGCTACCTGCCAGTGACATTTCACAGCTCCCGAGCTGCCCGCTTCTTGGGGAATATAATTCCTCATTTGCTCCACCCTCTCCCTTTGAGTTTTACATTTCATCCTTGCTCTGTGCAATGCACCAATTGACACAAACGCAGGCAACTCCTCATTTGTCCTTCCTTTGATGACCTTGAAGCTCTTCATCTGCCAGCCCAGCACCACACAGAGGAATGAGGGGCACAGAACGGGCGTCAGTGCTGGTGCTGGGCTAGACGCTGTGTTGTTTTATATTTTTCTCCCTCCTCCTCCAACATTCCTTCTGCTGTTCCTTTTCCACCTTAAAAAAAAAAAAATCCCAGGCTATGAATAGCTTAAAATGAACTAACCTGGTTATTGTTGTTACAGGAAAACTGTTCAGAATACAAGCAGTAATCTGCTCCCATATACTGCAGTCTCTTGCACAATAACTGATCTTTTATCGCCCTTCTCCTCCACTTGGCAAATGAAGTACCTGCCGTCTGGTTTCCACCCTATTATGCAGTCCTGAAAAGAAGCCATGAGAGCTTCCTTTTATTTTGTTTTTGGTTTTGTTTTGTTTCTTCCTTGGCTCAGTTCTGGGTCTCAGCCCAGGGCAGGTGACTGGAGGGAACTTTGGCTAGTAACGGGGAGCCCAATTGTCTCATATGTGGAGTGTGTCACTTTCCCTCTTCGCTTTACTGCAAGGATTCTGTGACAAGCAGGGCAGATTGCTTCTGAGGCGTGGACGTGGTAAGACTGACCCTATCCAAGCTTAAGGAGGGATTAGATTGGTAGGTAGCTTGTCGTTCAAGATATATGAAAAGGTAGGAAAAGCAGCTACTGGAACAACCTACCATCAGCATACTGTGTCCTGAGCTCTGAATGCAGCCCCTCACCTGTACCCGGGAGGTACTGAAGAAGGGGCAGAGCTGTTCTTATTTGTACAAATAATTATAGCTTTTTCTGTTTTCCTATACCTTTGCCTTCAGAAATATCTCTGGAATTCCAAGATCAAAGCTTTGTTAAAAGTTTAAGTAGTCTGGGTGCGGTGGCACGCAACTGTGACCCTAGCACATGTCAGTCTCAGCTGTGGCAGGTGGAGTGCTGCATTAGGAGTTCAAGGCCTGCTGCATCAGGAGTTCGAGGCCAGCCTGGTTCCATAGTGAGTTTCCTGCATAGTGGGACCCTGTCTCAAAAAACAAATAAATAAAATATAAATAAATAATATTTATCAAAAGTGCAATTGAGTTATTAAAAGTGATTTTGGAAAGAGGCTTTAGAAACACAGAGACAAATAAATTGAATATTTTAAACTTGCAAAATGCAGCCACTGCTTTGCAATGCAAGCTTTTCTTGGGCAAACCCGAAGTTGCTGATAAACTCCAAATGAGATCCCTGATTCATAAGGGAAGTAGAAAAAGGGGAGTATTTTACAGTATCTCAGTAGACATTTAATGTTTCTCATCTGTCCTTGATTTGATATATTCTGGGCTAGGCCTTCCTAGTTTTAGTATTGTTATTTTTAATTGTTAGTAAAATCTCAATACTCTTGGTCCCAATAAGGATTTAGATGCATTAAGCAGATTATCCTCTGGATGACGCAGTCCTCAGGTCATTTCAGTCCAGCCTTTCTTAGGTCCTTGCTGCAAGCAAGGCACAGAGAGGTAGATGTGGAGGGGATACAAGAACCACCGAGAAACCAAGGCTTTTCTCCCGGAGCCCGGAGACTACTGGGAATGCAAGATAGGAAGACAGTGCTTTAATCCAAGACATTACAAAGATACAAATAAAGCATGTGAGTTCTATTTATGGTCACCTAGGAAACATAAAAACATAAATACTGACTTGGAAATTAACATTTCTCCCGGATCAAGGTTTAGTTCTCTTTCTGTGTCAGCCGGGAGTCCGCAAGCTTTTCTCTCCTGGTCCCTTGCCCGTAACAGGCACTCGGGTTACTTTATTAGGATTAACAACAGTTCTCCAGAGCCAGACGGGAGGACTGTGGTTTACTTTCTCTTTCTCTGGCATCAGTGAAAAATCCATGAGGAAGTCTGACTGCAGCAAAGCACTTTTTAGCCACTTTTGTGGTTTGAGTTTTGAATCTTATCTACAAGACCATTTCAGAGTTAAACGCTTTGATGAAGAGGCCACCGATCTTAAGAAATAAAAGAACTGTAAGAAAGTTAATCCATTTCCATTTTCAAATAGGCATGATGTTTTTCTTCTCTGTTTCATGGATACTATTCAGAGGTCAAATGTGTCGCATTGCGTTGTCTGTGGCATAAGCCTAGGAGGGTGAAGTTCCTCCTGGTCCTTTCCCTCCCTCCATGCCTGTACCAGAAAATCAAATCGCACAATCCTGTGAGTGGTAGAAAACTCACATATCTGGAGGGGCTTCTCAATCAAATCTACCTATAAAGCAATACTGTTCTTGGAAACCTTTACTGTTCTCTATTATCAGTATTTATTTAATACGGATACTGCCTCTATTCACAAATTTTTAAAAATACATTGCAACCTAATGCGTGCTGCAAAGTAAACATTTATAAACAGCAGAGCTTCCCCCTAAATCAAAGGAGTAAGTCAGCAGATATACAGAATCAAACATTCTTCATTCTGGAGGATGGAATTTGATTTTCAATTTCTTAACAGATGAAATAAAAATATAAATGTCAAAGACTGGTATTTCCACCATCTTCTATTGGCTTTGAATTGGGTTCCCAAACTTAGTGGAACACACAAAAAAAGTGAGAAGCAAATCTTTTCAAGTACATCATTTGGATTTTCCTCCATGTGCATTTGTATAAATTATTACGGTTTTATAGATACACAAGAACAATTACTCCTCGGCACTCGTATTGGATGACTTGGGAGGGTCATGAGAGACCCTTCAGAACCTGCAGCATGCAGTGGAAAGTGCTTCTTTTTTTATGAAAGGGGTCTTTTCCTAATTAGTTTTAGAATACCTACTCTTTTTTCAGCCTCTGGGAAGAGCATCAGTGCTAGCAATCTTCAGGCACAAAATTGTGAGAAAGGGGACTATTAATAATAACAGTTTGAATTATTATGAGGACTTGGTTTGAAGTTATGAAGATGCACTGCGGATGCTATGGAAGTTTAAGGCTATGCCTCCAGCAGCTCTTGACTCTTTCCGCTATTTACCTAAGGGCTACACAAGTTTTGTTTACGATCTCAACATCACAGTCCTTTCATCTGAAGCACAAAGCATTGTTCAGCCACTTAAGATGAAGTACTAATCCCTGTAGCTTTGAGTTTCCTTGCCTCTCCCTGCTTAGGCTCTTCTAGGAAGGGGTCAGAGGTCCTGTGTGTGGATCCAGCCTTTGTTCTTGGTGCTTACCTTGGTCACTGATCATGTTCATTTTCTGAAGATGAGCATCTTGTATTTCTTTGTGATCAAGTGACAAAATTCCACCAACATCTGCCAAAATGAATGGTCCAGAAAACTTGTTATGGTTTCAAGATCAGGTTGGGTTTTTTGTTTTTTTGGTTTTTTTTTAAGAAAAGAGAAATCCTTCCAATTACCTGGAGTTCTGAACACACTTGGTTGCCTCCCAGAAATACAATAAAAGGAAACCAGAAGTATTTTAGTCCCTGGTTATTTATGAATGCAGCCAATTTTCCTTTTTAGACTCTGAAGGTCACAGAATCTAATCCAGTGGAACCACAAAAAAGCAGCTTCCCCTTTCCATAAGTTCTCCTGCCGACCCTTTCTCCTCAGTTCTGTTAAGAGTAGGGCCTTGCTGGCTGTAAGTGGAAAGCAGGGCATCACCGAGAGTTTCCAGGGCTTCCTACTCAAAGCAGGTCACAAAGAAAGCTGCTTTGGAAGTTACCGGGAGGAAACTGAGGCACAAGTGCAAAGGTCTCTGAAGGCCTTCAGGGCACCTCTGTGCTGCTTCTCAGGCTGTCCCAGGGAGAAGGTGAGGAAAAAAAACCTCTACTCAGCTCCCAAGAAAGCCAAGCCCTTCAAGCCTGGGCTGGGACCATGGGCATGGAACTGGATTTGCCTAGGAAGTGAATAATTAACCCGCGTCCTTGACATCAGAGGAAGGTGAGAGAAGAATGAATGGCATCTATTGTTCTCGAGTTCTAATCTACAGAGCCTGCGTGTCCTTGCCATGAGATGAACACAGCAAGGATTCTGGCCTATTTTTGAGCACATTAATAAATAGGCCCTGAATAAAGTCTCTGCCTCTTTTTCCTTTTCTGCACATCCAATAGAATACTTTTCATTTTTAATCTACAGGTTGTTCAGTAATGTCTATTTGTATTTCATAATGTACGAAATCTCATCCTGCTCATATTTCTTCCTTTAGGACTTAATGAATAGCAAGGAAATATCTTCTAATTGATAAACTTTTTATATAATTTTAGAAACCTCAATACTTCCGATATCCAAATTGTACAAGATTTAAAAAGGAATATTAAAAATAAGAACTAACGTGTCAAACACCAACTCTGTGGAAAGTACTGTACTTGGATACTTGGTGCCAGCTACTCTATTTAATCTTCAAAACAACCCTAGGAACCAAGAGGAGTCCTTCCAGGTCTCTGTAAGAAGGCAGCCTCAGAGGGATCTTATCTTCACAGTCACAGAAGGCATGTGTCAAAGGGAGCTCAACCAGAACCCCAAAGTGTATATTCATTTCACCACACCACAATTACAGGTGGTCTTGGAAGTCTAGAAAGATACAGCAAGAGCTTTTCTCACTGCCTCATTCAGTGTAGCCTCCTTAAGAGCATCTGGAGAAGATCCGTCCTGCCAGCTGGGGACGGGGCACCTTTATCCAGATGGAGATAAGACAGGTCTTGGGTGAAGAGTTAGGATAACAATCCTTTCCCACCTGTCCCCTGGCCAACTCTTTGTTTCTGGATTTTTCTAGGGGTGGAAGATGGTTCTGGTAACAGAGATCAAACTGCATTCTCAGACGTATCTTAACATTCCCAGGATTGTCTAAAGATCAAAATGGAGAGGACGGGGAAGGGTGGCAGATACCAGACTTCAGGAGAGACTGTCTTTAAGACAGGAGGCAGTCTAAGGAAGAAGTGGTCAGTCTGACTCAGTAATAAGACAGAGATCCAAGGCTCACTGGCATCCACATTCTGCTTGATCAGAGAGCAGTCCCAGCAGGTAGTGGGAGGACTGGGTCAGGCTGCCAAGCCTCTTGTCCCCAGCCCCAGCACACCAGGCTCCAGCAAAATCATAATCTGGGGCTCTTAACATTTTCTTCTTTTGTTCTAGGGATCTTTTTGGTGGTCAGGCAAAGCCTATAGATTCTCTAGCAGAATAATGTTTTAAGAGCCTAAAACAACTTACTGTAGTTTTAAAGGAAGCCACTAATATAGAAGGATGACCCACAACATTCCCAGGGACTTTAGGACATGATTAGGATGAGGGGGAAAGGACTTTGCAAGAGGAGTGGTCTTTCCCTAGGCAGGTGGGGCATGCATTATCAAAACTTTCAGGAAATAAATGAATGGTGTGAAAATAAATGTGCTTCTAAAAGGTAAGTAGAAATCTTGAAGACATAGGAGTACGTAGCAAGTTCATGAACAAAACCCAAACTGCACGGGAATTACTTTGAGGAATCAATAACTGGGATCTCACTTTATTAAAAAGTTTTTGACCATCAAAAGAAAGCACCAACAGAGTGAAAAGACAACCCACAGAACTGGAAAATATTTGAGCCAACTGTCTCTCCGACAAAGGACTTACATATAGAACATATAAAGAACTGAAAAAAATCAGGCCCCAAATTCAGAGACTCAATCTAAAAACGAGCATCTGAGATGAATATGTACTTCTCAGATGCAGAAATACAAATAGTAAATAAATATATGAAAAAATCTTCATAATCACTGGTCATTTGAGAAATGCAAATTAAAACAAAACAGATTCCATCTCACCGCAGGAGGAATGGCTGTTATAAAGAAATCAACCAATAACAAATGCTGGAGGTGCTGTGGGGGAAAAAGGAACACTTGTCCACTGTTGGTGGGAATTTACACTGGTGCAACCTGTGGAAATCAATGTGAGGATTCCTCTAAAAACCAGGACTAGAGGTGCCATCTCACCAGCTATTCCCCTTCTGGGTATTTCCCCAGAAGAACTGAAAACATCATACCACAGCGATATATATGCATCCACATTTATAGCAGCACAATTTGTAACAGTCAAATCTTGGAAACAACCCAAATGCCCCTCAAGTGAGGGCTGGATAAAAAAGGTGTGGTATTTCTATGCAATAGAGCTATAAAGATGGATATAAAGCTATAAAGATGGATAAACTCGATGCTTTTATAGGGAAATGGATGCAACTTGAGTCCATACTCGTAAGTGAAATAAAGCACACTTGCGTGTGTAAACATTATATTGTCTCTTTAGTGTAAAAAACTGAAAGAGAAATAGGATCCAAAATGTACAATAGATATTGTGAAAGTAAAAGGGGCAGAAACTGCTTAAAAGGAAAGAAAACTTAGGATGGGGGAAATGAGAAAAAAAAGAAAGGAAAAGATTATATATGTCTCTGTGTGTGTATATATATATACACACATATACATATATTTATATATACACATACATATGCAAGACAGGTAATTATACTACTAATCTCTGTTAGTTCATCAAAAAGTTTTGCGCTCTCTTTTGATCATTTTTCATGGCTATATCTTGTAATCTGAGTAACTAAAGATAATTCACAATATATTAATCATTGTTAATCTATTATGTTGTTTTGAAATTCTGTATTCATTTTAAAGTAAAAAATGAAAAGAAAATACATGTGCTTCTTTAGTAATAAAATAGATGACAAGATTTAGCAGCACAGCTAATGTCATAATTCCACAAATCCTGATGCTATAATTCCAAGTAGGGATGAGCATAAATGGTGTTCAAGATATTTGCTACAACCAAAATGTGATCCGCAAACAATCTGTAATTTCTGTTAGCAGAAAGCTCACAGACACCATAGCACTGTTGTGCCGTGTTGTCTAAATTCATGACTGAAGAATGTGCTAAATTTCAATTAAAGGTTAAAGAAAATAAAGATATGATATTTTTCTCATCTTGCTTGGAGACACCCTCTAAATCCTATGTGTGGATCCCAGATCCAGAACTTAAACGTGTTGGAAACTGATTCGAGGAAATGACGCTTTTCTTGCTGAACTTCAGGATCACCTAACTATTGACCTTCCGGGTTATGTGAAGATGACCAAGTGACGTCCAGCCCCGTTGCTGTGTGATGCAGGCTTGGCTATGACCTTCAAAGTTTGTTACCTCACAGGCATTGGAGAGGCCAGCAGGCACAGCCCGGGGGCCAGGCACAAACTGCCATTTTTGCGTGGACAAGGAAAGTTCTCCTAGCTGCGGGAAATGAAGCAATACCACAAACTGCTCAGCTGGATAAGGATGGGCTCCAGGATAATCTCTAAAAGGAACAGGGCAAGAACAGAAGGCAGGAACCAATCTGAGGACACAGGGGAAAGCCAGGAAGTAGGATTGGGATCCGAATTTGAGTCTGAGTTTTACCCTTGGCCTCTGGGTGACTTGGGAAAAGTAAAAATTCATTTCTTAATCTGTTCTGTCCTGTGGCGAAATGAGGCGTGGCTCACAGAGTTTTTGCGATGGGCGCATGCGCGTATAGGCCAGTTCTGTGCGACCTGCAAAGCCCTGCACAGGCTTCATTGTTACGGTCCTTTGCCAACGGCCGGGCATTTAACTTTACTCCGGATGGGTCTCTGCTTAGCATCTGGACACTGTACTCTCGCTGCAGTTTGCAAGTCCAGGCGACTCACTCAAGGTTTCTGTTCCTTTTCCTCTATGGAGACACTGCAGAGACTGGCTGCGCGTCCAAAAGGACTGACTGGAACGTCCAAAGGTCAGTGCAGGTGACCTTCAGTTCTCCTTGGAGCCTCGCGCCCCTGTTTTGCTGAGGAAACTCCCTGGCCCTCCAGCTCCCCTGGCTTTTTCTTCTCTTAGCATCCCTCCCCTCTTCTGGTCTGGCCTCTGTCCACATCCCGGGGATGGAGGTGAGCTGTGGGAGAGGCAGGCCTGTGGGCGCTGAGCGAAGGCCAGGCCAGGGTGGAGTGGGGATCCTCCGCCCCAGGCTGCCTCCCCACTTCTGCGGGGTGTGGTTTCCACCCAGGCCCAGCAGCGAGGGTGCAAGGAATCCAGGAGACTGAAGTCATTCAGCTTTAAAAACTTCCTGTACCCTTTGAAGCAGCCCATGACATCATTTTGTTGGGCAGCTCCGAACAATAGGTGGGGGCGGAGTGGGATGAATGGAACCGCGCGAGTGACCAGAACAGAGCCATGGGTGGACACAGAAACAGCCGGGTCTACGCGAGCCTTCGGGCACCAGCCCGGAAAGCCTGGCCTGCAGGTGGGCCGCGGTGACCGGAGGACAGCGCCCGCCCCAGCCCCCCGCCCATGCAGAGACCAGCGGCCTGTTTTCCACTGTGCAGTGACCTCCGTGGCGGGAGCCAGGCGCAGACACACGTGACTTCCAACCGGCGCATCCATCCAAGTTCAATAAATTAGCAGCCAAAAATTTTAATCAGATATTTAATCTTTCCTCCCTGGAAGGGAGCTGGGGTGTTTACTGTGGCTCCAGGCCACGTTAATCTCACAGAAGAAAGACTGCGGCTCCATGCTGGGCGCTGGGAAGCCCTGGAGAAGCCGCCTTTGCCTCCTGAACTTTCCTCCACTGTACAGAGTTCATTCCTTGCTCCTGCTCTTCCCTGGTAACTGCACTTCCTGTCAGGATCTAACAGGCTGGGGGAGGGATTTCCACAGTTTGTAAACGCTCAGCTAGGAAACCACCGGAAGAAGGCCTTCAGAAGCCAACTTACAGTCTTCTCCCGGGTCCGCACACCTCCCATCACACCCTGTGCCCTGCACCCTTCTGCCCCTGAAGCCCAGCAGCTTCTTGGGGAGCAGAGCCTGAGCTGGGTCCTGCCAGGGAGCTCCTCGCCCGGGTGAGGGGACCTACATTGTGACTATGTTTGAAATGTAACATTTTGTTTGTCAGTGATGCGGTGACAGGGTTACTCCTACACTCTTAGAACAAACCTCTGCCCTGCATAGCTAACCCTGTCACATGGGAGAAGGCGACATAATAATAAACCCAATAAGCCAACAAGTAATGCAAAGTTAGAAGGTTACAAACAATGCAGTTAGGTATACATGTGGGGGTACTGTACTAATTTGTAAAATAATTCACTGAAATGTCATTGCGGTTCCTGTGAGAGCCACTTGGCTGGGCGATTAATAGGTGCCATGAGACGAAGACAGATCAGAAGTGAAAAACATGCTCCCGGGTAGGACGAGGACACTCTGGGTGGCTCTTTGTGGAGTGATTTGCCAGTATTGCCACCTCACAGGTGAAGACATTAGACCACAGGAGGTGAATTTGGCCATTTCCACAGAGCTATATGAACGGTAAACAGAGCTGAGATTTGGTGTTTCTGGTACCACCATCGCTAGTCCTTCACTCCATCATGTTGGGTAGAGATGGGGAAAGCTGAGTTTTCGCTGACTGATTTATTTATTCTTGGATTAACCTTCTTGAACTGATAGCCCATGACTTGAAGGATCAGGGCACAGGTAAAGGCAAGCGGGCTAACGAGTGGGAGTTTCTTTTTCTAGATATAGTCAGACCTTCGTCATTGAGTGACTTTATATTTTAGGTTTGCTTCCATTTCCTTATTTATAAAGTGAGGGGATTTGGAGGTGTTGATCTCAGGGTTCCCCAGGATTCACAAGAATCCCACGATTCAAAGATTCCACGTCAAAGGCAACAGAGCAGCAATTGGAGCACCCAGCAGTAGGGCTTGGTTTGTCGCGGATCAGGTCCTCAGTGTTGTTACTCACTTCTGCGAATCTAGGGAAAGAGCTTAGTGAGGATGTTAACTGGAGAGGCGTGTCCCAGTGAAACGTCCAAAATGGCTTTGAGGACCTGTAGCTGCCCCAGAGCTGGGGTCGGAATGGCAGACGAGGCAGGTCAGGAGGGGAGATCTAGTTTGCATTCGGAGCAGAGCTCCCAATACTGCTGCCCAGTCCAGGCCTTGGTGGAGGACGCTAAGCAGGAAGGACTGATGGAAGGAGAAAAGAGAGAAGGGCTGACGAGCCAGAGGTCAGTGAGGTCGAACTCGGGGAGAGACAGAGCACACAAGCAAACAGTGAATGCTGACGAAAAACAACTGTGATTCTAAAATCAGAATTTGAACCAAATATCCTCTGCAAACACTGTTGGTTCTGATATCTTCATGATGCCAACTGGATCTTTAGTGAATAAATGACTTCCTTGTCACCAAATGAAATTGTCATTAAGGGAATCTTAATTTTAATTTGGAAATATCTCCTTTTGTTGAGTGTTTTAAGAATGACACTAAAGCATGCCACGTTAAGGGGGAATTTCTGTTGTATTATATTTTGGTAAAGTGATAGATGACAAAGGCTGAATTTCGGCACGTCAGCAGGTCACGCCTGGGTTTTAGGTAATGGAAACACAATTCCTGAATTAAAATGTTACAATTTTTGCATACTTTTCTGATATGTAAATAACACAGGATCTCTTAATTGTTCTAAATATGATTTCTTTCATCTTTGATGGCCACAACCTTTGTTCACACGGCTTGATTAGGGTGATGAGTATCAGAACAGGTCTATTATTATCCTTTTAGCATGATGCTAAAACAACAGTGATGACAAAGAACAGGTAAAGGCAAATGGGTCACCTGCTTTCATGGAATCACTTAAGACAGAGGCATGGAGTCACACGTACCTCACTCATTGTGGAACTGTGTTCATCGTGATGACTTCCGAAAACTCCCCTGTGGAAAAGCATTTACTCTGAGTTGTTTTGGGTCACGGAGACAAGGGGCTAAGTGACATCTGGAAAGTCCGACCGAAGGGTGGACATGCTGGAAAACTGCTGTCCTGAAAAACCCTTCTGCTGTTGAATATCAGGTTTGTTGATTTGGTTTGCCTTTTCCCTTCCTCTCCCTGTCTGCCCATCAGCCCTGGTTGGCTGCTGTGTACTTTCCTTAGTTTATAAACAAGTATGTGCTGAACTTTCCTCTGCACAGGCTATGGGAGGTTCTAGCAATATGGTAGATTTAGCGTGAGTTACGTTGAATCTTCACTCAGACTTGAGTGTAACAAACGCAGACAGCGAACAAGTCATTTTAATGAAATGATGAGAGCTATTTTAAGGCAAATTCACGTACTGTGAAAGTGTCAAGCACGGACAAGTTTCATCAGTGACCTGTCTGAAGAAGGAGCATATAAGTTACTTGAAAAGAGTAAATAGGTATAAATGAGGGATATTGGCTACTTAGAGTTCAGGACTAATATCCCAAGCTCAGAAAAGAGTGTTTGCAGCAGTCCAAATGTGAAGGAGAACATGGTATCGTCAAAGAACCCTGAAAGAAATTTAAAAATTTTTCTTTATTGCTGGAGCATAAAGTAGAAATTGGGGAATAGTGAAAAATGATGTTTCAGAGGTAGATAGAGAGGAAATGCTGCAGGGCCTGCAATTTGGGACTAATATTTGATTGTATTAAGAGAATCACTTTGGATTCTTAAGAGAACATTCTGGAACATGCAGTGGCAGATGTCAGAAATGGAGAAACAGCTGGGATCGGGAATTGTTTAACGGTAGACAATGAGAAAAATGCTGCAAAATATAGGAAACAGCAATTTTGCAATATATATTTATAATAATTATTTTAATCTTCTTGCTTTCTAGTTCTGTTATCTTTGTTATTTCTCCTTCTGTTTCTATGGATTATTTCCCTGGTGATGCATTACACTTTTCTGCTCCTTTGTGGGTGTAGTAAGTATTATTATTGGCTGCTGTACATTGGAATTATATTGTTGTTTTCTGGGTTACATATAGCTTTTAGGAATGTTATGCTTTTTATGGCAAAGAGCTATTTATAGGTTGTTTTGATCTGTTGGGGATTATTTTTAAGTTACTTTAGGATAGGTATGAAGCAGTCTTTTACTCTGAGATAATTGGGCACACCTAGGGCATCCCTCTACAGAGGAGAGAGAGAGAGGACTCCCTCTTCTTCCACCTTCTTACTCTATTCAGCCAGTGGATGGATAGTACCAGCCCACAGTCAGGGAAGATCTTCCCCGTGTTGTCTACCAACCCACATGTCAGTCTGCTCTGGAAATTCCTCCACAGATGCACCTGCAATCAATGCCTCACCAGCCACCCGAGTCTCAGTTCAGCCAAGCTGACATCTAAAAGTAACCATCACAGGGTGCAAAGGAGAGACTGCAAATCTTCCACATCTCTGTAGTGGTGGTGCAAGGAGGGAGGTAAATCAAAACATAAAATTAGGTGCATTCCGTTGCATATGTAACCTATACGTAATAATTTCTTAACAGATGGAAAAAACCGTTGAGTGGCTGGAGTTGGTGGTGGCTGAATGGAAGTGTAAACGAGCGCCTGGAGAGAAGTGACAAGCAGGAGAGGCATCGGCAGGACGTTTGAAAGTGACGGAATCTCGTACTCTGCTTCCCTTCCATCAGCATGAACACACCTGATATTTTAAAAAGCAGAGAGAAATCAGGATGGATTGAAGATTTCTGGACTACTTGAAAAGGGTGACCTACAATTTATTCAGAAATAAGGAGTGATCTTCATTGAAATTACATTGAGCTCTAAGGGGCCAGTGATGAAAGTTCAGAGGCCTGGACTGTCATAAAATTGCTGGCAAATGTCAAGCAATACCAACATAATTGAGAAGTGTATAATTATCTATGTCACTACTCAACAATGGTGTGGAGATAATGATGTAATTACTTTTTACCACATTCTAGGACCAGGAATTAGTGATTATTTTGTGTCATCAAAGATATCATTTAGAATCTCTTCATGTACTTTTCAAATTACATATATATTAAAGAATGAAAATGACTGTGTATGTTGAAAAACATAGATGGGAACTTTTATAATAAATATTGGGACCAGGTGTGGTGGTCCACATCTGTAATCCCAGAACTCAGGAGGCCAAGACAGGAGTGCAGTAGCCTGGGCTACATAATAAAACACTAGGCTACATTTATTATGTAGCCTGGGCTACATAATAAAACACTATCTCAGAGAACTAAAATAAATACAAATAAATAAATGTTGGGACCAAAATTTCTTTTTTATTTTGTAAGCAGTAGTTTTTATTTTAAAAAGAATAAAACCTAGCAAAATAAATCCAATCAAAACAAAACAAAGTGAAAGTGGGACATAATTTCAAAACAGAATAATAGGAAATCAACAATGGCTACCATAATATATCTTGCCATCCTCATGATAGCTGTCCATACCATCAGACATAGTAAAAGCAAATAAAACAACATTGAATAAAACGAAACAATAAATTGGAACAAAACAAGCTAATGAGAACAATATTGAATTTCATAAACCAGACAGGAAAATAAAAGAAACAAGACAGAGGGAAATTCCCCACATTTGATACACTGCGTACTATCGCCTTCCTAATTAATAGATGCTTCCTAATTAATAGACTACCAGCCTTAGGACTGCAAAGTCAGTAAAACAATACAAGCTTCTAGCTGTTTTTGTACCTCCCTTGCTATCAAGGCAGCCTGTCCTCCGAACCAGCCAGTTGCTTACAGGGATGGGCAGGGGCGTGTCTTGATTCTCAGACCGCGTGCCGGATGTGCCGGATGGCTCACAGGAAGGATGAAATGCAAGGAGGAGATTTCAGAAGTGAAATTGTTTTCAGAATTTTAAAATGTCCAATCTTTAAGTCATATATATTAACATTATATATTCACTATATAAAGTATTTAAAATACAGAAAAATAAAGAGGAAAAAATCTAATTACTCATAATTTCATAACCCAATTTGCATTAGCATATTATTTTGTTGCCTTATGTTTTCTTTCTTTAACGCTTATCATTACAGTGATACAAGTCACACAACTTTATATCCTGCCTTTGCATCATCATTTTAACCTAGCATATTGATGCGTTTATTTGTTCATTCGTGCAATCATGCATTCAACAAAGATTTATCAAAAGTTTGCTATCTATCCAGCATTGGATTAAAAACAAAATAAACGATGCCATTTCTGCCTTCATGTAGCTTTCAGTCTAGTAGGAAGATATTAAACAATAAACAAAAAATTAAACAACAATATAAAATATATACTTACAAATTGTTTCCAGAAAGGAAACAAACGGGACAGGGAGGGATTAACAGGGAAAAATACGTTCGATTGGGAAGTCAGGAAAAGCAGGTTGAGGGGCGGAATGCAAATGGAAAGATGCAGCTGATGGTTCACAGGTTGAGAGCCACAATGCTGTCCCAGCAGAGGGCTGACGTGAGGGAACCTGTGGGAGACAAAGAACTCAGAGAGAGACAGGCAGTGTGTTTGGAGAGCGACCTGGGAGGAGACTGCAGGCCAGGCTCTGGTGATGCCGGGTTTTGTGGCCAGGCTGGGAGTTTGTAAGACCTTTTAACAGCACCAGGAAGCCACGTTTGGCTTCAGGAGCAGAGGCTCATACTCAGCGGATGCTTTTGAAATATTTCTCTGGCACGAGTGGAGTAGAGACTCCTGCTTAGGAGCAGGGGTGTAAGTTCAGGGACTGGCTCCGGCTTTAGTGCTCCCATTTTCCTTCCAGTGGCTGGTTTAGAATCCCACACATAGCTTGCTTGCGTAGGTACTGGACATTTCCCTGGCCCAGCAATGCACATGTGACCTCGATTCATTCTGTTGCATTGAAGAGAAGGACTTCTATCCCATTAATGAGTTTTTATTGACAAAAATTCTAAGACCATAAAATCATCTGTTCCGTAAGACCGTTTCCCAGAGGTAGGAATAATGAGCCAAGGAGCTTACATATTTTAAAGGCTCATTACTAAACCACTTTAGGAAACAGAAGTCCCAATGAATTCTTAGACTAGCAAAATACAACCTTGCCAATTAAACCATACACTTTATAATATTATCATCATTAAAACAATCTTTGTCAATAAATAACATTTCATTTATAATTTTCCTAACAGAAGTAGAATGACAGTATCACACTGAATGGGGAAAAAATGAAATCATTCTAAAATCAAGAATGAGACAAAGGGGGGCTGGGGATTTAGCTCAGCGGCATAAGCACCTGCCTTGCAAGCAGGCAGTCATGAGTTCGATCCCCGGTACCGATAAAAAAGAAAAAGACAAAAAAAAAAAAAAAAAAAGAATGAGACAAAGATGCTCTTTCTTACCACTCGTGTTCAGGATCATGTATGAAACTTTAGCCAGGGCAGTCAGGCAAGGGAAAGAAATAAAAGGGATCTGAATAGGAACAAACGAAGTCAAAATATCCTCATTTGCATATGATGTAATCCTTCACATAGAAGACCCAAGAAGCCCCACCAGAGTACTCTTAGATCTGATAAACAACTTCAGATTAACAGCTAAGTGGCGAAAGGCAAAATCATACAAGTATCAATTGCATTCTTGTACTTCAGTAATGAACCCACCATGAAAGAAGTTAGGAAAACAATTCCATCCACTGTAGTTTATAAAAATTAAATGCCTAAGAATCAACCTAACCAAGGAGATGAGAAATTTCTATGCTGATAATTAAAGAGCTCTGAAGAAAGAAATTGAAGAAGACATTAGAATATGAAAAGACAGCTCTTGTTCTTGGATTGGCAGAATTAAATATCGTTAAAAGAGCCATATTACTAAAAGTGGTCCTTATATTTAACACTATCCCTATTAAAATACTAACAACATTCTTCATAATCCTAAAATTCACATGAAACCAGAAGAGACCTAGAATAGCCAAAGCAATCCTGAGCAAAAAGACCAAAGTGGGAAGCATCATATCAGATTTCAAGTTATACTACAAAGCTATAGTAACAAAAACAGCATGGTGCTGGCACAAAAATAGACCTGTAGGCCTTGGAACAGAATAGAAGACAGAGAAACATCCCATATACATCCACCTATCTGCTTTTTGATAAAAGACCCAGAAACATATGTTGGAGAAGAGAGAGGCTCTTTAACAATGCTGGGAAAACTGGACATCCATGTGCAGAAGACTGAAAGTAGATTCCTATATCACACACTGCACTAAAATCAAATTACAGTGAATCAAAGACCTCGATATACAAACAGAAACTTTGAAGCTGCAGGAAGATAAAATAGAGGAAACGGTTAACACTACAGCACAGGCAAAGACTGCCCCTGAACAGTCAAGAGATGGGGTTATATCAAAATATAAAGCTTCTGCACAGCAAAAAAAAAATAATCAACAGAGTGAAAAGACAACCTAAGGCAACCTACAGAATGGGGAGAAACACTTTCCAACTGCTCTTCTAATAAAGGACTAATATTTGGAATATATAAAAAACTAAAAATATTAACCCTGTCAATGGAAATGACCTAATCAAAAAATGGGCAAACTGAACAGATATTTCTCAAAGCAGAAGAAGTGCAGATGGCCAATAAGCACTTGAAAAAAAAAGATCATTTGCGTTAGCCACTGGGATCCAAATTAGAACAACTCTGAGATTCCAGTCAGAATTGCTGTTCCCAAGAAAGAAAGGAAACAAATGCTGATGAGGACGTGGGGCAAAGAAACCCTTGCACATTGTTGGTGGGAGCATAAGAATGTAAACTAGCATGACCACTGTGGAAATAAATACTTCAAAAAAGTGAAAGTATAAATCCCATTTAACCCAGCCATACGCCTCCTGGGTGCGCTCCTGAAAGAAATAAAGGCCCCAAGCTGTAGTGATACATGCATGCTTGTCTCTGGAAACTGCTCATCCACAGATGAATGGGTAAAGAAAGTTATGGCATATATATTTATATGTAAAATGAAACATTATTCAACCTTAAAAGGAATGAAATCATGTTTTTTGCAGGAAAATGGGTAGAACTTGAGACTGTGATGCTAAGGGAAATACGTCAGACACAGAAAATTAAGTGTTCCATGGTTTTTTCCCTATGAGAAACCTAAAATATAAATGAGTAAAATAAAGATGACATGGTAGGAAATAAGAAGGCGGACTTTTTGGAGGGGTGGAGGCAGTCGGGAAGTGAAGGGATTGGGGTGATTGAATGTCACGTGTACAGTGTGAAAATTCCCCAAGATAATCTTAACTATTGTGTATCACAAACACTAATAAAAAATTTAAAGTATCATCATAATAAAATGGAATGAATGAGCATTTTCTCTTTAGAGTATTTATAAAATAGCTAACCAAAAGAACCAGGATTCCAAAATTTAAAATAGTCTTTTCTGGTACCATTGCAAAGAACACTTCGAAATATCTTCTGAGGAGACAACTGATTCTCCTTACTCAGCCCCCACTAATGTTGAATTATAATTAAATACAGAAAAGGTCCACTCTTTATCTTCTAGCATAAGGGATAATTTACAAAAGTATATGAGCCAAAATAAAAATCCAGATTCTAAAGCTAACTCTGTTCCTATCACTTAGGAATTAAGATCACAGCTTTTTATTGATGGAAAATTCCATGCTAGATACACAAGAGGACATAAAGAGGGGTCACCTCTTTTGCACAACTCGACAATGCTCTATGGACCTTCTAACTATCTGAAGGTCTTCATTTCTCTCTTGGGACAAAGAAATAAGGTGCTTTAACTGGACTGTTATTCTCTCTTTAGTCCTTAAACTTTTATTTATTTTTACAGTTTTAACAAAATAAAAAGAAATAATTATTTCTTAATTTTAATACTTTTTATTTTTATGGGGAGGGGCTATCCTCTGAATTTGTGGTATTGTGAGATACACATCTTCCATGCTAAGAGAGGAACAGGAGTTTTTCTGGAAGCGCTGTGGGAATGTTTTCCACATTAAGTCTATCTTGATCCCAACATTAATAGTATCAGTAGAAGCAGTGAGAACTGATCCTCCCTCCCCAGCTTCCAGAAGACAGAATTTTACATGGAATCAGGTAATAGTGAATGTCTCTCTGTGATGCAAATTTTTGTGAATTTAGGTGCTTTGGGTTGATACTTCTGTTCATATCACTCAGGATCTTATTTTACACTGGCTCGTGTTACCTGATTATGCCTTTTGCTAAATTACATGTTCTTCATGAACAAGAGCTTATGTATTCTTCTTTATAACCTTTTAAACATAGAACAGGCACTTCAAAAAACACATCTTAATGTCCAAATGAAGTTGAAAATATCAGCAAAATTTCCGTGAAAACCGTTTCACTTAGAACTA